CCCTCCCCTCTCCCCCTGTAGATGCTGTGGCTGCTGGTCCTGACTCTCCCCAGTCTGGGGGGCTCCGTACCTGTGACCTCAGGTGGGTCCTGACCCCCAAGCCTGGCTTTTCTCCTAACCCCTGACTGACCTCTCAGAGGCCGCCCCTGGGATGGGTGGCGATCCCCCTCTGAGGGTGACTCTGGGAGGGACTGAGGATGGGGCCATGCTGAGTGCCGGGCAGCGGTGCCTGGGTCCCTGATGGCTCCTCCTCTGCTTCCCCAGATCCTGGCCCAGGGACTGAGCTGGTGGGCATCATGGGGGGGCATGATGCTGCCGATGGGAACTGGCCATGGCAGGTGGGTCTGTGGGTCAGGAATCAAACAAGTTCAAAGTGGCATCTCACTTGTGGGGGCTCCCTCATCCACCCCCAGTGGGTGCTGACCGCTGCCCACTGCATTCCAGGGTAAGTCCCTACTCTGCCATCAGCCGGTGGAAGGGGTGGGGGTGGACAATGTCAGGAGGCATGTGATGTGTGTTGGGGGCAGATCCTGGGCTGAGTGGCTGCAGATGCCCCACCGGAATTCAGCTTCCTGGCGCTCCCCTTGCCCACCACAGAGGGGAGGTCTCTGGGCTCTGAGGGGCTGGCCCACTCCCTGCCACAGCCTCTCAGACGCCTTTGCCCTTCTGTTCCCAGGAGAAACCCAGTGACTCGGCACTTTAAGGTCCAACTAGGACGACTGAGACGCTCATACAATGACAGTGTGCAGGTGGCCAGGATCATCCGCCACCCCAAGTACAGGCTTGAAAAAGGAGCAAAAGGTGGGGCGGACGTGGCACTTCTCAAACTGGAGGCCCCCGTGCGACCATCTAAGCGTGTCAACTGGATCCGCCTCACGCCAGCCTCCTCCGAATTCCCCCCAGGCACACGGTGCTGGGTGACTGGCTGGGGCGACATTGCTTTTCAGGGTAAGAACCCGAACCAGGATGACACCGGGCGATGCAGGGGGCTGGCCGGGCTTTACCGAGGAGGCTCAGCTGGGGCCTGAGTTGGGGTCCCTCCGGGGTCTTCCTTGGGTGTAGGAGGCAGACAGCTCGAGAGGAGTCTATCAGGAGCGGAGACGAAAGTAGCAAGAGTGAGGCATGGCCATGGGCATCTTTTTTTTAAAAAATATCACCCAAGGATATTTTTTCCATTGGTTTTTAGACAGAGTGGAAGGGAGAAGGTGAGAGAAACATCGATGTGAGAGACATAGCTATCAATTGTCTTCCCGACTGGGGCTGGGGATTGAATATGCAACCCAGGTACTTGCCCTTGACAAAGAATCAAACCTGGGACCTTTCAGGCCAGTGCTCTCACCACTGGAAACACAGGCCAGGGTGCCATGGGCATTTCACTCCCTCACTCTGCACCAGGCCCTGTGTCTCCCCTTCTGGGGGTCCCCGTTCTCCCTGAGTCTCAATAGTGGGATGGAGAACGAGGAGGGAGAACCTCAGTGACGAGCTCAAGGATTCACTATTAAATGCACAAAGTCAAATTTGACAGTAGGGCCGCTCACTCTGCATTTCTTGGGGGAAAGCACTTGCTCTGATTTTTCCCAATAAAAATTATTTGTGGATAAAAATGTATTTCTCTGTTTCTTTTTGGAGCTTGGTGCCCACAGTGTCAGCCTAGAGATTATCAGCCCATTGGCCTAGAGGGAACCCAGACAGTTGGGGTCTTGGGTGACTCCCTGGGTCCCCCTGGGGGCACTGAGGCTCAGCGTGTGGTTCTAGAACCTGCGGCCTGTGACCCGGGGCCTGTTGTACGCCCCCTCAGGACCACAGGTTCACTGGGCTTCTTCTCACAGTGCCGCTGCTGCCCAAAAATCTGCAGGAGGTGGAGGTCCCCATCGTGGCAGATGAGATCTGTCTTTGGCAATACCTCAAGATTGGCAAGGTTATCAAGGACGACATGTTGTGTGCCGGGAGCTGGGGCCGGGACTCCTGCCAGGTGAGACCCCCAGACTGTGGCCTCCGTCCATTGCTCCTGCCTGCAGGGGCCCTGGGTCATGACTGTGTTTCCAGTCTCCTGGCTCTCACCACCTTGTTGGGGCTGGGG